CCCCAAAACCCCAAAACCCCAAAACCCCTACTGCGAACATTAATCTTAAATATTGTTATTAAGACCACATAAAATATTATAATAAGTACAAAATGATAATTAAGAAAAAGGCAGCAAACTTAATCAACCAATGCATCCACAAGCAAGTCAGACTCGCCTAGTAACCCTGTAATAAGTTTAGCAGTAGAAGCAATAACGACGGAGGATGGCCTAGCTCAAGTGGAGCTCCTCAAATGCAAGTGTAGCTTGCAAACAAAGGCAATCAGTTCGATAGAAATCAATAAAGTTCGTCCTCCCCTTTTAATGTGAGAATAAATGGAGCTCCTAATAACATAAACAAAGAGAGAGAAGACGCTAATAATAATGTTGAATTCAATAACTAACCAGAGCAGAACAAATCTTTTACCTCAAAGTACTATGATATCAAGACGCAGGAAATCCACGAGTTCTTGTAACTTTACAAAATAAGATATCAACTGCAAGGCAGCGAAATAGTCATTTATACTTGCCCACTTTGCATGAAACCTCATAATAATGACCCAAAAAATATGAATACTTGTCGTATTAATGCTATTAAAGGATTCTTCAACTGCTTTAGATGCGGTAGCTCAGGATCTTGGTATGGCTTCAAGAACAAAATACTTCACAACCACTTTGGTACTTCCCCTGAGGATCTGGTATTCAAAGCTGATTAGTCACCAGGGACTAAATAGTTTACAGAAGGCTTCTAATTTAAATAGGATTGGCTTCCTGACTACTCTCAAAGAAACTAAGATAGATATGAGATTGAAGATGCTCACAAAGTATTTATCTAATTGAAAAGGAATATTTATCCAGAAATTAACGAGTACTTGACAGGAACAAAAGATCCTTCAGAGTAGCGTTACTTAAAAAAAGAAACCCTTGAAATCTACAGAATTGGTGTGGGTAAGGAGAAATTTAGAAACAGCAATGACTAGCTTAGTTTTTTAGACTCAGTATATTTTCCTCTATATGCTCCTAAATCCAAAAAAACAAAGCAAAAAAAAGACAAATAGAAAGTAGAAGATTTTGGAAAGAATCAATCAACTCTAGAGTATGAAAAAAATTAGAAAGAAAATGCAGAAAGAGAAATAAATACTGAAGAATATGAAATGGTTAAGATGAAGATTAGAGCTATTGGATCTGAAAATAAGGCTAATATGAGATTTCTGCCTGTTGGAAGTGAGCTTAAGTAAATATATTCCAATAATTATTATAGGGGTTTATTTGGACTGACATCACTAACCAAGTAAGATAAAGTTATAGTCATCACTGAAGGGGAGTATGATGCCATGGCTGTTTATCAAGAGACTGGATTACCAGCAATTAGTTTGCCGAATGGAGCAAATCACTTGCCAGTATAATTCATACCCTTTTTAGAGAGATTTGAAAGAATTTACCTGTGGATGGATGCTGATGAAGTAGGAAGAATTGCTGCTGAAAAATTTTCTAACGTAAGACTTTTATTCCAACTTTATTCAAATAGAAATTAGGACAAATGAGGACAATAATTATAGATACTAAAATGTATGATGAAAATGGTCCTAAAGACGCAAATGATGCTTTGAGGAGAGGAATAGACTTTAAAAAAATATTTCAAGAAAATTCCAGAAGACTTGGTGATTAAAACCTTTTGACTGTCTTTGATTTAAGGGACAAAATTGTAAAGAGAATTATGAATTATCAAGAACTAACTGGTATTTAGTCAAAATACTTCACATTTTACAACAGGACATTGAAAGGTTTTCGTAGAGGTGAGATGAGTATTTTAACAGGAGCTACTGGATCAGGTAAAACTACTTTTCTTTCCCAACTATCAATCGATTTTGTGAGTCAGGGTGTGCCAACTCTGTGGGGAAGTTTTGAAATAAAAAATGAGATCTTAGCCTCAACAATGCTCCAGTAATATACCAGATAAAAACTGACAAATGAAAGCATGGAGAAAATAGATTAGCATATAGAATAATTTGGGCTACACCCTCTCTATTTCTTGAATTTTTATGGTTCAACTCACATTGATCTATTAATAGAGACGCTTAACTATGCAATTTACAACTATGATATTCAGTTTATTTGTCTTGATAATTTGCAGTTTATGCTGTCTTAATAAGCTCAAGGGACATTTAAATTCGATTTATAAGACAAAGTAGCTTCTTATCTCCGTTAATTAGCTACAGATAAAAATATTCATATTGCAGTAGTAGTTCATCCCAAAAAAGTAGAGGACGACAATAACTTAACAGTTGGCTCAATTTTTGGAACAGCTAAAATTACTTAGGAAGCTGACTCAGTACTTATTCTTTAGAAACATAATGTACCTGGTTTGAGGACAATATAAGTCAAGAAAAATCGTTTTGATGGAGAAGTAGGTGAAGTATCTATGCTTTATAATCAAGAAAATAAGCGATACTTTGAGCTAACTCCTGAGGAGAAAACCTCACTCCTACTGAAAAATGGGAGTTCTTAAAATATCATCAAGTAAAGGAAATTAAAGTATGGTGATGTAGAGCCTGCTTTACTAAAAGATAAGGTTGATGTAAAAATAGAGAAACCTTCTAAATCTAAAACCATAAAAAACAAAGTCTCAGAAATAGCGAAAAAGGATTTGAATTTTCATGGAAAATTAAGGGAACATATCAACAAAAAAGAACCAGAAGAAAATTTAATTAATCAAAAGAATAGCCACATTTATCACACTTCTGATAATTCAAGTAACTCTAGTGGCTCTGATAATGAAGGAGGAGAAGGAAGTAAAGGTAGATCAGTAAGCAGTGATTTTACTGGCTCAATGATGGAAATCACAGCTGCAAGTGAATTTCCAGAAATATAAGTAGACGAACTAAAATCAATTGTTATTGATGATAATGATCTATTAGCTCCGCCAGAGGATCTTAGTGTTACAGAAATTGAGGTTGAAATGTCAATGAGATAAGAAAGAGCTTTGACTTAAGAAGAGTCTTCTAATCTCCGAAAATAATACTCTTAAGAAATGCTCAATGACTAATCATAGCCAATAACTCCATAATAGTAGTAAGCTTGGGAAGTCCACTTTAAAAGGATTAATGAACAAAGTCTTGAGTTTAAGTCAACTGAAAGATTTTATTACAAAAGATACGATTCATTAGCTTAAGTATTGAAAACTAATTCTTTCAACATTGATCCTAGCAATATAGTCGGTAATTATGATGAAAATAATGAAGAATCTCAAAACATTGAGGAAGAGAATAAATAGGGGAAATCAGATCAAGGCAAGAATCTAAGTCAGTAGATCTTATAAAATGATAAACAAGCAACTAATACTAGAAATTTTAGCAAAAAAACCACTTATAAATCGTCCGAGAGCAATATGTTTGAATCAAAATAAATGCAGCTAAATAAAAAATAAAGCAATCCATCAGTTGATTATATTAATTACAGATATACCTAGACTGGAATAATATAAGATGAAGCCTTGAGAGAAATTTCAATTAAATAAGAAGAATATCTTGAACTTGATAAAATACTTAGGCCGAAATTCTTAAAAGAAGTGAAATTTATCGAGTCTTTCTTCAAGGATGGAAGAGTCAAATCTAGAGAGGAGGTCGAATCATCATCAAGCAAAAGGACAAATTATTCAAGAGCCTATTATGAAGAGTATTAATTGATATAATAAAAAAACAACGATGACTATGATCCAATCGCTATAATATAAGACTCAGATAATGAAGTGGAAATAAAATCAAGACAAGGACTTATAAATGAGAAGTTTGATATAAAACACTTGGAAAGATCAATTGAAAACGAAATATAGGAATAGATTGAGGACGATCTCAATCGTGAAATTGAATAGGATTAGGAAAATCTTAATCAAAGGATGTTGAGGAGTATGAATGAGGAGGAAAAAACCAAGCGTATAAAGGAACTTTTAAGCAAGGCAGCAAAATGAGTTTCATATGTTTGAGTGAAAGCTTAACTGTGTAAATACAAACTACATAACAAAATTAGTCTGCTTTTAGGTAGCTAGAATGTTTGAGTACTTTAATGATGTCGTGATTTCTTTTATTATATCATAATTTAATTAAAATACTTCATGGGTAACAAAATTAACTTATAAATTGCAAATGATCTTTAGACTTAAATAGTTACTAAGCTAACTGGTCTCACTCTTAATGAGAACATTCACATTCTAAATATTCGTCTTGAAGAGGAGAAGAATGATTATCTAAATACAATTGTAGTTGATAAAACTAAAGATCACAATAATGAAAAGTAGACAATGGTAATTTTGCACGGTTATGGAGCAGCAGCTACAGTATTTTATCGTGTTTTCAAGGGGTTAGGAGAAAATTTTCGACTTCTTATCGTTGATCTTTATGGGTTTGGCTAATCTACAAGAATAAAGGCAGAAAAAACTAAACTAAAGAAAAATATTGAAGCCTCAGAGAATTATTTTACAGAGCCAATAGAATAATGGAGATAGTAAATGGGCATCAATGAGAAATTCATTCTTGTCGGCCATTCTTTTGGAGGATATGTTGCTAGTGCTTATGCTCTCAAGTATCCTCAAAATATACAGAAACTAATGCTATTGTCTCCAGCTGGGTTCTCAAAATTCAGCTAATAGGGTAACTCTGATGCTTTAAATTAAAACTAAAGCGGTAGCTTTATTAATAGAAAGTTGGCTTAGAGTGCTGAGTATTTTTGGAATAAAGACATCTCTGCTTTTGATTTATTTAGAAAATTGGGATTTGCATTCACTGCTAAATTTGTTGACTCTTTTTTAAAGTAAAATTCACCAGATATTTCAAAAGAAGAGAAAAAACTGATGAAACAATACTTGACATAGATCTTTCTATTTCCAAGCAGTGGTGAATATGCTGTTAATTAACTAATACACGCTAATGGATAAACCAGAGATTGCTTACTCACAAGAATTGAATAAATTAGACACTAAGTGCCTATTACATTTGTATACGGAGATACTGATTGGATGCATGGCTAGAAAGAAGTAAGGGACAGAGATCATAGGGTGGTGATATTAGAGAATTCTGGACACTAATTTCACTTCAAAAATCCAACAGGGCTTACTCAGCTGATCATTAACGACATTTTTAATAGCAATCTAGAAAGCCCTAAAATCTCTGACTCACTTTAATTTCCTTAAATAAATGGGGTTTTAGATTCTGAAGTGAAAAATGACTAGAATTAAATACAAGAAGATGAGTTATTTTTCAAATAAAATTAACAGTTGATAATAGCATAATAATCGGATGAGATATAAATTGATGAAACTATGCATCAAACCAATGATTAAAACTGAAAATGTAAGAATCTTCTTTACTTTATAATCATAAATCCAATATTTAATAACATTCAAGATTCAATTAAATCATTGAACCTCGGGGTTTTGGGGTTTTGGGGTTTTGGGGTTTTGGGG